TAAACTATTTTCTTCGCGCAAATATTCTTTGCGTTTTTTTGAAGCGAACTTTATGGCGTGAGTTAGGTGTCTAGGTTACCATACGTTTAACAAATTTTCAATTTTTATGACTATCTTGCTAATTTCTTTCGTCGCATTCTTTGTTTCTTATTGTATCCAAAGGAGATTCATACTTAAGCTACGAGGATTTCATATATTTGTTTTATCTTCGGAATTTCTAATATTCAAGCCATATACCTTATTTCAGTTCCTGCAATTATACTAAAGTTAGTCAGTGCATTATTGCAGTGCATACGTAAGGATTTTTCGTTCCTAATACATGTAACGGTGTCATTTGGTCCGCAACTTATGAGGTTGTAATTTTTCTTTTGTTGTCACCACCTTGATTCCCAGGATGTCTTTGTTTTGATTTATATACAATACAAGTAGTTCCACTACAAAAAAATAATATTGCACATAGAGGGCAGCCATCTCTTACACAGCTACTTCACAGGGAAAAATTCAGCCATTATTGATACATGTACTGGTAATTTCGCTTGTACATTTAGCTTAAAGTAGTTTTTATCCAGGTGAAATTCATTGCCAACGTTTTATTTTCTCTAGTATCTTGAGTAATGATTAACGCAGTCAAAATATTCAATATATTCCTTTGCTGTGTATGTCGTCATGATATCCCAGTGCAAACTCAGCGTTACTTCTGTGCAATGCATTTGTCTTTGATATAGGCTGTTTGATTGTGATTGGTTGATATTGACAGAAAAGGCTTTAATCTGTTCGCAAGTACATGTCCTAATATTTTAGAATCAACCTTAAGTAAACAGATTGGTCTACAATTATCAATACTAGTACTGTTTGGCAATAGTTTAAGGATAGTCATTTAGATATAGATAGTCCCAATCTCTTTTAGATTAACTACTAATTGCGTTACGATGCCCAAATTGCCAAATAAAACAGAAATGGTTATCTGTCATCAGTAAAAGAACAGAACAGACATAACAACAATAAGAACGAAAATACCTCTTAGTCCACAAGAAGCGCTCCCAGCCAGGGAAGGTAGGGGGCGCAATTGAGTGGATACATACACGTTTACAACTACTGAGTGCTGGAGGCGTGGCATACCAGTGGAGGCGTGGCTTATTTTCATAATTAGACAACGTCAGGTAATAATTAGGTCTCCATCCGACGTCGAAAATCGTCGATGCACACAACGAAAACGTCGAAAATCGTCGATGCACACAACGAAAACGTCGAAAATCGTCGATGCACACAACGAAAACGTCGAAACCGCAAACGTCGAAACACATCGAAAACGTCGAACATCGAAAGGGATTTTTCGACGTCGAAAACATCGGAGGGCCCGTCGAAATTTTTCGACGTCAAAAACATCGAAAAGAAGGTTCGATAAATTACATTTTTTTCGGAACGAAAAATGGTAAGGTTAGGCCGTTAAGTTCAATAACTCCGAGACATGTGGCCAACTGAGGAAATTTGGTGTTGTTTTAATTCTCTAGAGGTTCCAAAGTTGTTGTTTTTTCGACGGCGTTGACGCGTTGAAGTCGTGACAATGGTAGTTAATGTGATGGCCGGGATGGAGCTATTATTACTCCGTGAAGGAGGTCAGGACCTCCGAACGAAGTGTTGTGAAGATCTGATTTTTCGTGTTCGCAGTCAAAACACTGGGTTCTCTTTGTGTAATCGGCACGCAATTTTATACGCCGTCTGCGGGCATGCCCGTGTTGATGCACGAATGTGTATTTTTGCCGTTGCTGCTTTCGCGGTCAATGTAATACTGCAGACGCACCCCTACAATTACGAGGCGAATTGGAATGGTCCAGAAAAACGCGTTGTTTGGAATAGCAGTGGGGGGTGGAACTTCATGCAGATACGGGGTGGTTTTGATAAGTGGTTCCAGATGTTTTTGCCCATGGTTAAGAGATGGCAAGTTTTTTGGAAGATGTTCGCAGCCAAAACGCATTCTTCCGTACGTCGCATTTCTGTGTAATTTCGCATGTGGTGTTGCATTATGTCCGGGATGATGCACGTCTTTTTTATTTTTACCGTAGCTGTTTTGATATTGGAGTAAATGCATATTTTAGAAACATCCCTACTTTTACAATCCCGTGGAATAGGCCGTAGGTTTAGGCAGTTGTCTGGTAGCAGAGGTTCTCCAAGCAGATATCCCGGGTATCTGACCGGCGGAAGTAACACTCGCGGTGCTAGCCGCGACTGTTGCTGGAATTTGGTCTGTCCCAGTCGCGCTTAATAAGTAACAGGCACGGTAAGACGGTGTCTTCGTTAATAGTGACACGACCATGATAGTCCGATCTTTATGTGAATGCAATGATTGTGTGTGTGTAATCAAAATGAACTTCAAACTTACTTGAAGCACAGTATCTTTACACGCCCTGGGAGCAGTAATGGATTTATGTCTTTTTATGTTATATGCTTGTGACGCGCCCTCATTGTATTAACCGTTGCCTAATTATAATGTCTGCACAGTAGGTCTGGCGTTGACCCTTGGGATTGTTTTTGTTGAAATATATAAATCTTCACGGAGGATTGTCACCTATGGCTTCTTGTTCTATTTTGTATGCGTAGGTTTTGCTACTTTGTTGTTTGTTTTTATTCAGTGGTGATCCTAGTGAGTTTATGTGTGAGAACAGTTGTCCGTTTTGACAGCATGGGCCGTGTGAGTTTGTCTGTACTGTACATGTATAGGTTGACCCAACCTATGTTCTGGGTCAATGTCGACGTCGCCAGTGGTTGCATTTGGTTGTCAGGTTGAAACTGTTCAAGGGGCACATGTCTTCTTCTTTTTCAGTATACATGCAGCGACCCTCGGCCAAGAATGATCATAACGGGGCACAGGACGGCCAACGGGCACCGTCTCTTCCCGGCGTTCCTGATCCGGGGAAGCTGACCACTGATGGACCTGACACGTCAGCCACCCATCCATCTGGCCCGGGATGTACTTCCCCGGGCACTTTCTCTTCTTCCCTTGCATTAGGGAGCAGACACCGCCCGAGACCGACGTGACGGCAGTTCCCGGCACAGCCGATGCGACGAGGCCGATCTGAACGTGCTCTTCGATGTCCAGTATAAGGACGCAAAAGACAATAGAGTCTGGATGATCGATACCAAATGTCATAATGTCTGAAGACATTAGCCAGAGGACCACCCCTGACCAAATTGTTTGATTGTCTGGATCCATCATATGTCCTTACAAGGACAGTGACAACAAAACATTTGAGCATAAAGAACGACAGTCATTGTAACAACAACTAGTTCAATTGTATCGTCAATTATTTTATTACATTTGGCTTCTCCAGTAGCCAGGCTTTGAGACTGGAGAATGATACAGTCTATATTGTAATCGAAACTGATTGCTGTTATTCAGTACATCCAGTTATCAAACTAACGAGTACAACGGCCATATAAGATTTGTTCAATGATTCACTGCTATATAATAATATCTTAAATACAAGGGAGGCATGTATGGTATTTATAGTAGGACATCTGCATAGTTTTTGTACAATATCCAATGATCATGTGCAACAGGAGTTCCCTGGCTCTACAGCTGTAATAGATGACCTAGTACAGGTGTCTCCCACTGCAAGGTCAGAGGTCAAGTCTAAAAGTCTTGACCAAAGCAAGTCTATCTGTCATTCCTCAGTTTGTCACTTCTTAGAGTTAGGTCCTAGGTCAGACAAAAAAGGACTATTCTGTTATGAATGTTAGACAGGACAGGTTTCAGGATGCTTAATATTCAGATGGACAAAATCACATCCCCCAACTTCATCTCATCAATTGAACGTACTAACCCTGTACTTGAGGACAATCTGTCGTCCCTAGCTTCGGCCTCCGACAAAATCCACAAGACCACCCCACTAATACCAAATCTCCATGCCATTTATCCCACCTACTGACCCTGTACTTGAGGACAATCTGTCGTCCCTAGCTTCGGCCTCCGACAAGATCCACTAGACCACCCCACTAATACCAAATCTCCATGTCATTTATCCCACCTACTGACCCTGTACTTGAGGACAATCTGTCGTCCCTAGCTTTGGCCTCCGACAAGATCCACAAGACCACCCTACTAATACCAACTCTTCATGCCATTTATCCCACCTACTGACCCTGTACTTGAGGACAATCTGTCGTCCCTAGCTTCGGCCTCCGACAAGATCCAGAAGACCACTCCACTTATACCAAATCTCCATGCCATTTATCCCACCTACTGACCCTGTACTTGAGGACAATCTGTCGTCCCTAGCTTCGGCCTCCGACAAGATCCACTAGACCACCCCACTAATACCAAATCTCCATGTCATTTATCCCACCTACTGACCCTGTACTTGAGGACAATCTGTCGTCCCTAGCTTCGGCCTCCGACAAGATCCACAAGACCACCCTACTAATACCAAAGCCTCATCATCTCATCATCCAAAAAGAACAAAAAACCTTAGGTCCGCCATGTTTCCTTCCCGTCATGCTAAGAAAATTACATTGAACTTCAATTGCAAGTGCTAAACACAATCAGCGTATATTACGCCAAAGCCATCGCCTCTATACACTCCTGCCAAAATGAACACACAACCAGGTAGGCTTTCAGTTACTGCTCTTTCCAAACATACCGCTAGGCGTCGTCCTTACACTGTGGCCCGGTGACAGGTCCCACAATGCACTTCACTCAACTTTGGCCTGCCCCATTGCATGACGGGAAACAAAATGGCGGCGCCCATAAAATCGAGGTAAAGTAGAACAGGTTCCGCTATCGCGAACCTGTAACTAGTAGTATATGAAAGATCATGGATGCCTACTCCTACTAGTACATGTACTCTAAGACAGCAAGCACGATTACGCACTGCACTTTGTTTTAAAGCCCGTGTACATTTGTTGGGTAATCAGGGAGTGAAGTTTGACCTCAGACCGGGAATACTTCCGGGTCATGGCATTGCCGGGGCGGCTTTCCTGTCGGCATCAGTACGGAATCTTGACCGGCATCTTGAGCAGTTTTCCAAATTTCCGGCTTTACAGGAGTCCGCAATCGCGTTGTGCAGTTGTTTAACTGGCGACTGTGTATCAACTAACTTCCAGGTAAGAAAAGCTGGCATGTGTTGGTATTCAAAGGTTTGTAGAATTTGCAAATCAATGGTTTGTGTGGTGGTGTATACATCGGAATAATTTTGTGTGGGCTATATGCATTCACTCAGTGACATGACGTCTAGTGCAGCTACGCAAATACTTGCCGTAGTTTTGATCACTAGGTGAGAAAATTATCTGGCAGAGATTGTACTAAATTCCAGATTCTCAAATAATGATTCATAGAAGTAAACAGCTCACGAGGTAAGGTAGACCATGGGTAAACAACATATAAACAGACTAAGGGTCAGTAGGGGGTTGCCGGGTTATCCTGTGTGTGTGAATAGAAAATGAAATAATTGCAATCCACTGTGGAATTTTCTTTGCTGAACAAAAACTTCTATTATGAGGGAAATTTGGTTTTGTTTGATAATGACCACGTCCATCTGTTCTATTTTTAAATCAAAATTACGTAAACTGAAACCCCTACGTTAGCCCGCCTCTCACATCTGGATTCTATCCCGCCGTGATGGAAACTGAATTCCTCGGGACCGTTCGCTAACTGATGCGGGATTGTGAAAACCACGGGAAGGTTCAGTAACTAAAGGCAAAGGATTCACTCTAAATTTTCAGGCAGAAGTTTTGAACTTTTGGTGGCTAAAAGACAGGGCGGGGCGACATTCACTACACCACTGAAGTACTGTTGCATTCCAAAACGTGCTCTATTGAGTCTATTCCATAACATGATTTTTCGTATTCACGTGTCTGATGGCGTTGCTAAATGATACATGTATATGTCTGGACATGGTGTGTAACGTTTAGGCTTTAGCGTTCCTTTATGGCTACAGTCTGAGGCGTGTCAAGTTTAATGATGAATGAGAGTGTATAAATGCCTCACGAGTGTTTAGAATACCTGTCACTTATCGTAATATCAGCAAATATTTCCCTAAGTCTAGAATTGGTAGCTTTTGTATATTACGGATATTAGCATTGCCCATATGCTGTCTGCCTCTGTATAGTTTGGTCATCTAATCTTGGACACCCACACACAGGACCGCCACTACACGGCCGGAGCATGGTAGAGCTCACACGCAACTCACAATCTAAAAGTTGATCATGTTTAAACAAAGCAGCAGCCACTGCACACAAATTGATGTTGTCAAAGCCCTTTCCCAAGCCTATATGTCAGGAGCATGTTTTAGAATATTCCATTTCGTGATTTAGTCTGAAACATGTTTTGGAATATTCCAGAACGTGCCTTCAGTATGAATAATTAATCACCACCCCTGTCAATCAAAAATAATTGACAGCGTGATCCGTCACGTTTTGGAACATTCCAAATCGTGCTCCAGCTGCGCCATGATTTGGATTACAAGGTGTGTAATGCCTGTTGCAATCCAAAACGTGATCTTTTCCAAAACATGATTTGGAATAACATGTTTTGGAATGCAACAAGTACCTACATAGCATCAGCAATCGCATACAGTAAAGTCAGGTCAAATTCACCCGTCTTTCATGTTGTATCAGTGGTTTTAGTTACGCTGAATGCTTAAGTAACTTTTATTCTATACTATTCTACAAAACTAATTTCTCCACGTTTTATAGATCTCTTGTCTCCTTTTGTACAGAAGTGGATCCAGATATTGTTGACATGGCGACAACAGGCAACGTGCAGGGATCGGATGAAGAAACGAGAGGATCAGTAGGGGTTTCTGCTAACACTGCTTTCACTTGGCAAGGAGAAAGACATGAATGGTCTGTAGAGGAGTTTAGTGAGGATGATAAAGGTGTAAAAGTGTACAAGTGTGAGGAGTGTGCCAAGCCGTTTAGTTGTCCTAGTCTCCTAAAAAGTCACATGCGGGCTCACACAGGGAAAAAATCCTACAAGTGTGAGGAGTGCCGGAGACAATTCAGCCGCCTGGGTGATCTGAAAACACACATGCGCACTCACACTGGGGAGAAACCATACAGGTGTGAGGAGTGCAGCAGGCAGTTCAATCACGTAGGTAATCTGAAGAAACACATGCGGACTCACACAGGGGAGAAACCCTACAGGTGTGAAGAGTGCAGCAGGCAGTTCACTGAGTTTGGAACTCTGAAGACACATATGCGGACTCACACCGGAGAGAAACCTTACAGATGTGAGGACTGCGGCAGTCAGTTCAATCACCTAGGTAATCTGAAGAAACACATGCGGACTCACACAGGGGAGAAACCCTACCGATGTAAAGAGTGTGAAAGGCAGTTTAGTGAGGCTGGTCATCTAAAGAGGCACATGCGTACTCACACTGGTAAGAAACCCTACAGGTGTGAGGAGTGCAGCAGGCAGTTCATTGAGCTTGGAACTCTGAAGAAACACATACGGACTCACACTGGAGAGAAACCATACAGATGTGAAGAGTGCAGCAGAAGGTTCGGTCAGCTGGTTCGTTTAAAGGAACACATGCGGACTCACACTGGAGAGAAACCCTACAGGTGTGAGGAGTGTGGCAAGCAGTTTAGTAAGCTTGGTGATTTAAAGAGCCACATGCGTATTCACACAGGGGAGAAACCCTACAGGTGTGAGGAGTGCAGCAGGCATTTCAGTCGGCTTGGGACGCTTAAAAAACACATGCGGACGCACAGGAGAAACTCTACATAAGGCATGAGTGTACCGCACACATTTCATACAGATGGGTCATCTGAAGGCACACGGGAGAAACCCAACAGATGTGAGGAGTTCAGGAAGCAGTTCATTCAGCTGGGACATCTAAGTCAGATTTATGACAATTGTGGCCAGTTTAGGAGAAGTAGTAGTAGAAGAATGGTTTATTTCGCTAAAATACATCGCAGCCGCAAGAATGAATTGCGAATTTCTTACAAATAATTTACTTGCATGTAGCGTAGTTGGAACACTTCTTCATAAGAACACTTATTAGAACAAGAAAGTGTTCGTTTCACATGGGAATTCAGTGAACATGCATAATTCGTAAACTGTGTTAGTTTAAAGGTATGCAGAATTGAGCATACTATTTAGACTTACCTCAAAGTGTATGCCTACCGTGAAATAAAACGGGTGAGGCAGCCCACATGCTTTATGAGTGACATACGTTACAGATACCAAGTTAGTTCAAAGACCAGCAGTATGACCACTGGGTCAAAGATGATTTCTTTTATTATCATGCCTTAGTTTTTGAGTACATCAGGTCAGTCACATCAGTTTTGTACATTGTATGTAGAAGATGTAGAACTATTTTGATGTAGAATGAATGCTGTCGTTCAAAAGCAGGGACGCGTATGTATCATCCTGTGTTGTTCAGCTTATATTATAACTACTCTTTGGCTAACGATCCAGCTTAAAAACAACAAATCCAGTGAGAGTGTTCGAGGTATTTACACCTGATTAAAAAAAATTATCATATGCTTACAAAGTAGTTTTGTTATAAATTATAAACAGTATTTTACGTAGAAGTGTTCAAAATATTTTTGGTAGAAATGATAACAATATTTTTTATTTAAAAGTATTCAAAACAGATAGAAATTGTATCCAGTATTTTGATTACAAGTTTTGACAGCAAATGTTATCAACATGGTTTGTGTTAACATTGAAAACATTGTTTATTTGTAGTAATCCGTTGTGCAACACGTACGGTATTGTTCTGTTTATCCAGTTTTTTTTTATATATCATACTAGTAATTGATGGGTTAGCCGAATAGACCTACTTTGTTCCTGACCAATTTTTGTGTTATTTTTATTATATTAACTTTGTCAGATTTTACCTTATACAATGTTTTTCTTGACCAGTGCAATGGCCAAGTGGATATAGAGTGCTCGCCTTGCATTTGGTACGTCGTGAGTTCGATCCCCGGCCGAGTTATACTCTCCCCGACAAACCCAATCCTAAAGCTACGGACACTTCTAATTAAAAACTATGATGGACAATTCCAAACCCTCGCAATCTTGGTGGTAGATGTAATGACAAAGCAAAAATATTATTTTTTTTAAGTACAGACCTCTGACCTCTCAACACAACTTGTACTAAGTTGTAGTCTTACCTGTTGTAGTTAAGATTAGCATGTAGATGTATGTAAATAGTAGTTGGGTTTAGTGTTTGTATGTGTAATACGACCCCGGGAAGATTAGTCTTTAAAGATACATCTTGAAATTAATATATTCATGCACCCAATACGGGAAACTTTCTGTCTGAAAATTGTGTCAATCCGACATATGACACAATTCAACACCCGGTCGAACCCGTTTGTCCAGTACGGTACCACCGTACCCACCCCTCCACATGCGTAGATTGAGTCGGACGAGTCTTTTGTGTCATTTAAGGCCGTTTGGCGTTGTCTTCTACGTCTGGTTTCGTGTTACCCAATTTGTTGGACTTCGCCAGATCAATTCGTAGGCTTCGCATATCCATGAATTGTGATTTAGCAAGCTACGACACGTTCTGCTGCACTTGAGTACTGCCAGGGCATCATACGCCCAGTGGATAGATGAGGAACTGCGAAACCTTATGGATGAAAGAGACCATGCTAAGATGGAAGCTCATGCTACAGGTCAGACATTACACTTCACAAAATATAAGAGATTGAGAAATGATGTAGTGGGAGAAAACAGAAAACGAAAGAAAGCCTTTTACAGAGAACAAATAGAGTCACACTGCAAGGACGTATAGATGTTACTGTTAATTTAGTTCCAAACGTATGTCTATTGTGACATACAATAGATGTATAGTCCCAACAAAGTTAAAATGCTGTTTCAAATGTAAACTATTGTTTTATGCAATATATTGTTAATCGACACAACTGAGCCACACAACAACAATAATATAACTTTTATTTGCTATTCAATCATTAATTAAACTAATGAAATTATTCGCGAAATCTGAAACAAAATTTTTGCATTGAGTGCCAGGATTTGTTGAGCTTTTGTCTTTTAAAATCATATGTTGGTGTAGATTATACTGTAAATGTGTAGGTTACTGTGATTTCTGTAGCGAAATAGATACGCCAACATGGACATTCACGTCACATACTGCTAAATTAGTGTTTTTGGACAGATATGTTACTTAGAACTCTTGTTTTTACCACAATATCTTCGAATACATTCAGCGCATTAATAAATTTATTTTCAAGAACCTATAAATACACGAATGTACTATGTTGATTTTGTTCACACACCACATTTCCATAATCTACGTTGTGTACATTATTTTATATACTTATTTTACATAATGTTACTACAACATATTATGTTTTAATGCTTAAATGTTAAAACACAGAAATGATTGCTAATACTTATTACACTAACTCTACAGTCACTTGAAATTGATAAAGTAGTGGAAAAGCAAACCTCTGTGAACAAACCGTGCTCAACGACAACAGCAACAACAACAAACTTGTTGCATTCTTTATATTCATATTCGGCCACAAGAAGTAATTTTTATGCATGACAACAGCGCGCGCATTAATTTTTGCCTGATTTTGAAAAGAAAAATAAGTTTTGTTTCCTTCTGACAGTGGTCACCATGCCGAAAATGGGCAAAGATGTCTTTTGCCATGCCGGAAGGTGGATGGCAGATAACTATGGACAGAGGATACAAAACAAGGCAATGATTTAATGTTTTGTTTCTTAATTCAGTGATATGTGATGCTGCCTGTGTATTTGTGATGTTCCCACTGAATCTAAACCATTTGTACAATAATTGAGTCAAAATTTTAAAATGTAGGAACCTTATTTTTTTCGGCCCGGCTTTTTTTTTCGCCCGCTCGCATTAGATTTGGAGTCTGCGGAGGATGTCATCCATATAATATACTTGCTGTGGCCTTACCTAGTCAAATTTTTACGACTGCACCCTATCCTTCTCATATTTATGCAATTACAGTTACATGTCAAGAACGTATACAAAAAATGATAATGGATTAGTTAAAAACATTTAAGGTACTTCATAAGAACCTACCAGTTAATTAAAGCAAAAGGCCTTGGCTTCATCCTCGACAAGAACTTAACCCTCCAAGAACAAGTCACTTCTATGGTCACAAAAGCCTCTCGTAGACTTCATTATCTGAGGCTACTCTCTAAACAAGGAACCGGTGTTGCAGACTTGGTCTTGGTATACCTGGCACTTGTGCGTCCTGTACCTGAGTATGGACATGTCCTACTTGTTGGATGTAGCAAGGAACAGGAGCGTGCGATGGAGCGGGTCCAACGGCGAGCCCTCCGCATCATCAGCCGAGCTGGCAGGCGTGACGTTCCCGAACTACCCACCCTGCAGTCGAGGCGCGAGGATGCCGCTGTGAAACTGTTTAGACAGATGCTCCAGGAGGACCACCCCCTACAAGACCTCGTTCCTGTCTCTAGAGCTAACGCCACTGGACGCTCTAGGAACAAGAACACTATATCCATCCCCCCAGCCAGAACAAAAAGACTCGTTCCTACATCAGTCTATCAGACTATACAACCAGACTGTGTAAACGTGTCATATCTTGGATGCCCTGTTGATTTAATGTATATATTTTAATAGTATGTATATATGTGTAATGTATGTTATGTACCTTATCTTGCTGTTATTGCTGTAAATACCAATGCCATTCAGGCAACACATATTTTTGTATGTCTGCAACGTTGGTATGAGATAAAGAATTGAATTGAAAAAAAACAAATTCTGTTGATGTAAACCACTTTAATTCAATTTTGGAACATGTTGCAACACTAATCTGTTACTGTGTATTGGCAGATGAAGCTAGTTTTCTCTCGACACTCCATATCAATCCACGTGTCTGTTGGGAACGTTTTTGTTACAAATGTCCTGACCAGTAAGTTCCCCTCTTAAAGGCTGTCGTGGACAAAAGTCTCATTTTGCCACGTTTGTTACTTAAGAATGAAAGATGATGTTATAAAGTTAACGTTCCTGCCTTCTTTCCCCTGTAAGATCAGAGCTCTGTAGGTCGTTCTTCTGGACAAATTACACGTTGATGTGTTTGGGCTCAACCTTCTGGCAATAGCGGGAAACAGAATCCTTTTTGCCGAATTTAGTTATATGTCTGAATGGTGGCAAATTGAGATTTTAACAATTAGTCGTGAAGGTAGAATAGAAAGTTACTTCATGCCTTACAGTTGTTTTGTAAGTCACAGCTACCTCACATACAATCTCTATTCATTTATAATCCCCTAAAATCTTTCTGAGTACTTGCTTTTAGTGGAAATCTTAAGTAATGAATTTGGTCGTTGAAAATTACGTTCAAGTAAATCCTGACACTGTCTCACGGGGTTAGTCTTACCTGATAGAGTGCCAAGGATCTGAATGTCTTTTTACCTGACTTGGCGAGCTATAGTAATTCACCGTTTACTCGCTATAATTCAATGATAAGCGTTTGTTGGTAGTTGTGAAGTATAATTTTATGACTGGACGCTCTAATTACACGTAACAAATTACTTCTTATTCAGAATTCATTGAGAAATCTTTCGTATCCCATGGCCGACGTAAATGGCCGCCTTGTAAACGGCCGTCGCCTGTCAGAACGGTCGTCACCTTTCGATTCCATATCGCTGACTTGTCGATGCCATATCCGAGCGTACCCAAACTTATTTTCAGGTCCATAAACGTATAAAACATAATTAGAGTTAAAAAGCAACATTCCAATTGCAAATAGAAGTGAAGATCATGAAAAAAATTTATTATTAAAGAAAAAAAATCGAATCCTAACCAAAATCCTAGCTCTAAAACCCTTACTCTCTACCCCACCAAAATTACTATGAACCGTGTTGATATACTTAAGAACGTCCGATCGTGTCGATATTTCGTAGCTAAGTTTTGCCAAATGGTTAAAGACCAAAATCTAGCGTGGTGTGTATGAGAATGTGCGTCAGTTTACCGGTAACCGTTGCCGGTGTTCCTGAGGTTACCGTTGAACGAGATCAGTGACCCCTTCCCCCCAAGCAGCCCCACTTTGACACATGACCAACTTCTACACATAGTCAGAAATAAACACCGGCAGGGTCATTACCTTGTGCCATGTCCTGTTGTGACTCTTGTTCTCCTGTGCTTTGGTCCACCTCATGTGCTTGTTGTACTTGTACTCTGATCTTCAAGCTAAGCTAACACCTCTTGCTGTGCCTGAGTGAGACCATGATTATATGTAGAAACCTGCGATGGGAGTAGTATCTTTAAAGTGCAAATACTGAGTGGCAAATTTGAAGAGAAAAAAATCAAACCTAACTTTAGTCGTGGCATTAACAAATTCAGTGGCTTTAGATCAATACTATAAGTTGTTTTTCTATTAAGTAGTCTTTTTTTTAATTTCCTTCCTCCTATCTAGAACATGTCCTCTGTCAGTGGTGAAGTTGGTGAGGAGTCATGAAGCTGGTCGGGTGTTGTATCATGAAGCAGATGCTAGAAGATGACCCTGGTTATTTGCCAAGAGTAAAAACTTCACTAGTATAATGTACTTTTTTGACTCTGTACATGTAATTACATGTAGCTCAGAGGCATAGTTTCGGAAAGAAAGATTATGATAATCATATAGTATATATAAAGCTTATTCAATGTATAGTTTCATTATTTGATTATATGGAGGACATCTGTGCGCGCATCTGTTTTCGTTCATTTCCAAAATAAGTTTACGACAATCATACAAAACATCTGCAAACTGAGCAAACATAAATTGGTTATGTCACAAAATTTACCAACTTTGTCGATAGAGGAAGGGAGACAGGTATTGCAGCAGAGGATGGCATCCATATAATCAAATCAAATTGGCCTAGTGTACAGGTTCCTAGTATGTGTAAGTCGTGTTTAGTATATTTTTTCAATATGTTTGTATGGTTTCAAAGTATATATAGATCATGTCGGTATAGTCTCCAAGTCTGTGCAATTAGAGCTTCAGAGTAGTTACAATCTCGTCGTTAGTATATATGTAGTATTTAGATACCTTCAATATATAAGATTGAGATAAGTGTAAAGTAAAGCTGTTGAGATTCATGCATGATGAGTGCTTGCCCTTGTATCTTTATAAAAAAAATGGGAGACAATTGTCCAGTGCCAATTTTTAAAATAAAGCTGTCGAGAGTCAAAGTGCTTGTCCTTGTATCCTTGCTCTCAATTAGATAATTGCAGTATGATTTATTTGGAATCTTTCATTTTTGTTTGGGGAGAAACATGGAGTGAAATATTCTACATTTGCTCCGAAGAAAATGTTGGCCTTTCTAGTATTTTATTGTATTGTGTGGTATTGTATTGTACCGTATTGTATTGAATGCTTGTTTTAATGACAACCTATCTGATGACATAAAATGAAAACTGCGTGCAGGCTGCATTTGATGACTTTCTGGACAAGAGCGAGGACAAACTTGTTGTAGTGAACTTCTATGCGACTTCGTGTGGTCCATGCAGAATAATGACACCAACGTTTGAGGTAAGGAACATCTCGCCATCTGTCACATTGAGATATTTGCATCAATTTTATCTTAACCAACGTTAACACAAATATAGCAAATGTACAAAATTTTTATTTTAAAGGAGTTTCAACAGTGCTCTGAAATATGTCTATATAAGCAGATATGAGCAACTAGCCTGGTTACCAAACCTCTCCTCAAAAAGGATGTAGGACTCGGGAGCTATGATAGGTTTGGTAACCAGGCTAATGAGCAACTACTTCATGGTGGCGGCTAACGGCACTAAAGGGACTCTTTGAAATAAACTCTTCTTACAAATATACAAATATGCACAAATATTCAGATTTAATTCCCTTAAGTTATCACCCAGCTTCTTTTTATTTATACTTACTTATTATTATTATAATTAGGGTTGTTGCCAATAGTGGCCTTCAGATTTGCAAAAATAAATACATGAATCAATGCATTACCACAAAGGTAGCAGGAACAGTTTGACCAGTTTTTCATATTTATACAGGAGATGGCTGCCTCGTTTCCCGGGATGTTCTGTGGTAAAGTGGACGTCGATGAATCTGATGTAAGTAGCTAGAGTTTCACGAGCTCAAACCTTCGCCAAATGATGTTAGCCTTTACCGAATTATGTTTCTCGTTGACTACACAAATAAAATCCTTCTCATGAATTATATCAGTTGATCAGATTCTCACCCAATGACAGTCTTATCTTAACAAAGAAGGCATCCTTTCACCTCGAAAGATGATGGTAGCATTCTAGATCTGGTGCTGTGACCGTATGGCAGTCTGGCCAGAGTTAGGACACAAGAAAATTGAGATACTTTGTGGTTGCTTTTTCTCTTTCCGCTTCTGGCACTTTTTCTCCAGCTGCTTGCAGCGTTTTGCCTTTCTGTGTGTGTGTATGTGCGTGCGCGTGTGGCGTAGCTCTTCTTATTTATAACATTACGTTATTTACAGACGCATCCATATATACCCATACAATTTCATACAGGCTGTTACAACGGACCATCGAGTCTCGACGATGCCAACCTTCATTTTCTACAAAATGGCGACAAGGTACTGTGTGCATTTGTAATTGTTTCATCATTCGAAAAATGAGCGGGGATTTGTCATTTCTACCGGCTGAAATTAAACCCAAATGCTCACAATAACCTTATCTATTAGTAACACGTATGAATATTTCGACCTTTCACCGCAAAAGAGCGTAATTTACCGAAGAAGATGCAGCACCGCTCGATGCCCCACTGGAGTCCATTGTGGAAGCCAGATGAGTATCAGTAGGCGCCTCGTTTCGTGCAAGATCAGGTCCTTTCGCGCAGCGCCGTACTCTCGCGGGACCGCTTTTCAAAATGGCCGCGGAGATTTGAATTACGTCTATTTGGTGGCTCGTAGTACATGTATTGGCTTCTCGCATCTTTCATAACGTGTATTAGATCTCTGTTTTGGTCTATGTTGGTCATCAACTAAGTTACCTACAGGTCAAAAGTCATAAAATATTTTCCTCCCTTCATGACATGCCATTCTTCAAAATCTTAACGCCCCTGAAGAATCTGCTGGAGGCCCAAACCTATGAGCACAAGAGGTACTTAGTCTAGTAAAAACTTCTGATCAAAGCATGGTCAGATAACTAAAGTGGAAATCATAAGTATTTTTTGCTGTTTAGCCACAAACAACACATACATACATTTCTTATAAAAACATAGAAATCCACAATAATAAAAGGTTCAGCAGCACTTGTTTTATTAAGGCAGTGAGGAGTAGTTTCTTTTAGGACACACCATTACATCGTCGTCATTGCATGGATGGCCAGTTTTAAGACATAAGTAAATCATATCGTTTAAACCAGCCAAAAATTGCTTCAAGGGTCTGCCAAATTATGCATACATCTTGTTTGCTTCAATATGTCTTATTTTTCCGCATAAAATTGTATAGACATAATCTCTAACATGTATACATGTATCTGTTGTACTAGCAAATAAGAGTTACAGACACTTATGATAAAGGTTATCTTGGTCGAACTACGACCACCCTGGTCGTGATGCCCCAGTGAGGGTTTTTGACCAGTATTACATAGAAGAAGTAGAAGTATGATTTTCTCTAAAATTTTTGCACTAATCATGCTGACGTGTTTTGCAAGATTTAACCTGAACCAAACCCGAGATACCTCTAAAAATTAGGAAGCAGAAGCATAGATATAAGAAACAAAACCACTGCCAAGACGATTGGAGCCTGGAGGTCAACTGACCCCATTGGGTCATTTTAGTCGTAAAAGTAGGGTAGTATTCGGATTTAACTGCAAAACACAATTCAAAAGAAAACTTTAAGGCCACGTACACACAAAACGTTGAAGCCTCAATTTCATGAAAACAACTTTTTCAACGGTTGATTGTCAGGGCGAAGTACATGTAGACAACTGTCGCCAGCGATGCTATGATCCCGGGAACGAGAAGGGCCTTAGCCTTGAACAGCATATCCAGTAAAGCTGTAAATGGGAAATAAAAAAAAGGAACAGGTGTACCTGCTACATCCGTTGCGCAACAAAGTTCTTCTATTTAATCTCCAAGCAGATTCGACGCGGGCCTATCAATATTCGGCCAAGCCATGACTTTAAGCCCCAACTGGATACTGGATACAGCCTGGCCAAATTGATAGTGTCTTTTCCCCGCCGGATCTGCTTCGAGATTAGTTCCAAAGAACTTCAAACAGGGTGTTTAATAAAAAGTTGTTCCATGCTATAATTATAGTACTACGTCGTGTCGCTAGGCGGCGCTGTGGTCAGAACAATTCAGTCTCAAACATTGCTGCTAGTACGTTTACTAATCTCCCGGCAGATTCACTCGGGGCAGGGAAGGATCAAATAGGACAGTTGCTATTAGGCTGGTCCATTTGATACTGCCTTGCGCCAAAAGAATCTGCTGGTAGATTATTCTACGTTTGACTGGTAAATATCTGGTGACAACAAGTCATAATCTTACCAACGGAGTTGCTCTTGTCCGCCGGTTTCCAGACCGCCCGCGTAGGTTTCCCGCGCTGTTTTCGCAGGAAGCCTGACCAATCAGGAGGCCGCTGTGGCAGGAGGATCTGCATGTGGTTCCAGAACCTATGGATACAAGAGGAAAAAAACGTGTGTCAGAAAACTCCGTGAATAATTTTCATTAGGTTGGTGAATGATACAGAAGCTGGCGTGTTACGTTGAAGATTTCCCTATGATGTTCAATAACTGCTAGTTTTGGTTTCTGTCCTGTAGAAATGGGGTCTTACTTGAAGTGGAAATTGTCTGGGTCACGTGATATCCTGTTCTGAAAGCCGATGTACAAGTCGTCCCAAAACAGCCCCTTCAGAACTGTCTGGCGGTGGACTCCGATCCGATTCTTAATCTGAATTTAGAAAAAAAAACCATATAAAAGAAAAACAAAACAAAACAAAAAAAAAAGACTCGTCGCGCGCGAAATTTTCTAACGAATTGCTCTGTCTTTATCAGCTATCTGACTCAAGTGCTGTAGATATGTAATTTTTCCACACGTGTGAAGTCAGCACTAGGTCAAAGTTCGTCAAAAGTCGGTGCCGCCCCCCGTCCAGGTGTAGGAACTCAGATGAACCTCACGTTCCTATATATAAAACAGCTTAAAAATCAGTGAAAATCATGATAAATTTGTCAACAAAAGATATAAAAGTGCAATGCAACACTGTTTGTACTGGAGAATATCATTAGTATACATGTCTTATGTACCTAACTTTGCTGTACGGCCTTACATCATATTTACAGGTTGAGTGTAATCAAGCGCCAAGTTCTATTTCTTCTGCATTCAAATAGTAAGCTTCAAAGCCACTTTGATTTATTGTACAACTTAGGCTTACCAGGCACTTACCAGAACGTTCAACTTATTTTTGACAAACAAATAATCCAATTTATTTTTAACTGAGGCTGATATCTTAATGAATTCTGGGAATGTAACGCTATGATACCTCCAAGTACGCATGCTCCCGGTTTGGTCGCTGTTCAGGGAAGCTCAGATCTTGAAAATCCACCAGAAAGTCGTACCCTCCCTCGATAGGATGGAAGTCTTCATCTGTTTCTATCATCTAGGACAAAACGAAAGCAATTATCATCAATACCTCTTCTCTGCTTCATGCCTCATATTTTGTGCAGCAGTCCGAGCTCGAGCTTCGTGAGAGGAGTATAAAATGTTTGACTTTAGCGTAGTGCATATCGGAATGCGCGGCAATCTTTCTTTCTCGTGTAATATTATAATACCCACCAGACTAACAGCACGGGTTCAAAAATAGAAAAAGCAAAATCGTGAGACTAACTGACATTTGCCACGTCTAACGGCGAACCAATCCTATTTTTGCCTAACACTACTATTTAAACCCCCTCAGGAAGGCCGGAGGGGGGGGGGGTTAAGCATTGGCCCTGTTTACGTGTGGAATATTGAAAATTACATTCAGCTTACTTGGAATGACAGACTCCCACTACTCGTTCTTGACTTAATCCATTCGGAGGGAATCAAACTAACGACCTGTGCACTGTGTCCTTTACATTCAGAACCTTCCCCCCGATCACCAACCAACCAAAGTTGGATGAAATTCTGGAGAAGTCTACCTTTCTATAAGAATACAATCGGTTAGATTTTGAACCCGCCCAAACATTGCTTAACACTTCCCGAACACCAGCCAACTAACAGCCAACCATGCCCAAACCTCCCTCCCATGTCCGAATGTTTTAAACATTTTGAAACATTTTGAGCGCCAAAGCAGTGGCCGACTTCGCCAAACACCAGCCAAACACCTTCTACTAAACATAGTGTGGGGTGGGGCGTTCAGCAGTGTTCGGAAGGCATATTCAGCTATGTGTGACAGAGGCTTTAACAAATGACATACTGACCCGCAGGACCAGGTTGTAGTCTCTGAACCCCGCCCACTCGTAGTAGAACCGGATCCAGTCTGGGTAGGCGAAAATCTCGCTTCCTATGCTCTCATTGATCTTGTCAATGTAGAAGTCGAAATCCCAGCTGTCTTTGAAGATCTTAGTTCCCAGAGGAGGATCCACTATTGCAAGTCTGCAGGGAATAGTTACGGCATTCGGGCCTTCACACAGTTTTATAGTTTACTGTTACATGTACTAACATGTCTCAATCGTAATGCCCGTCGTTTGCCTTATATTGTCAACAGCGGTGAAATACTATGAGTGCGTAAAAGTAGTGATCCTGTAAGATTTAAGCAAAGTAAAAATAATATATCATCAAACACTCTTGCCACGCAAATTCTTATCCACTTATGTGATGGACAATACGGTGAAAAACAACCAGCAATCCAGGTGGATCCAGTTAGATGCACTGCATTCTTTAGGTGTCACAAAATTACATTCAATCACAAAATATTACAGATTTGTATCCATGTTCTGAACCAGCCTTCGCAACAGGAAACATACTGTTATTCTCTGTTTCTTCTTCTAACAAACTAGGTCAATGACCTGGACCAGACGGCCATCACCGTGGTCATTGTTGCATGCTGTAGCAGTCTTCCAGTGGGGTAGGATTACATTATGTAGTAAGTGGCAGGACAGACTGTGAGGGGCTGGTCACCATACATGAATACAAAAGAATGTGCTTTAGTATACTATAGTGAGAATAAACAGATAGAGCAGTTGTTGGTATAGACCGTCCCCCATGTGAAAGCAAACATTATGTATTTGCATCATGGCTAATGTTACCTTTCTAGTTTATATCTTTTAAGATATAAACTAGAAAGGTAAAAATCCTGTGTTACCTGCGATCCACTGTGTCATCCAGAATAAGTGCCAGGTCCAGAATGGCGCCAGGTTGTGGTGTCCAGGTGATGATGTGGTCGGAATACCTGTTGATGAGAGAGTTGAGCTGCTCCCCGCTGTTCTTCGTGTTGGTGTCACGGATGTACCTGGAAAGGAGGGAAAAGATAATCACAATTCTACAAAAATGCTGGAAATGAAATAAGTAACAAGCATAGAAGACTCTATAGTCTGACGAGTACATTTGTAATGCCACTCATCTTTAAGATAAGGAAACATTTCCACAGGATGGAGAACGTCTGGCAACCCAAATTATCGGTTGTTTAGATCTTGGGAGATAAAGACCTTGGAGACTATTACAAATCAACGGGCATTATGTACCATTTTTGCACCCAAAATTGAAGTATTTTAATTGACAAAAAAAATTCGTATGCTTATAATTTACTTGAAGGTTTCATCATATTTGTGCAATTATCTCACATTATTGACATTTCCAGTTAGCGTTAAAAACTGCCCACATCAGGCGCACTCAGTTTGTGGTACCACCACAATCTACCAGCATGTAAACAAACGTGGCTGACAGCTGTGTTGCCAGATTTTTGGAGTACATGTACAATGGAGTAGGGTTGATTGAAATCAAATTTGTAAAGAAATAACTAGAAAATTGACTCTAAGAGATCGTTTGTAGACTTTGGATATTGCTAAAAGCTCACCGGAAGTCCTTGACTATAGGGGAATGATGGACTACATGGTTATCTTTGGAGATTTCGACAGCAGTTCACTCACCTGTCGCCAGGGTACGCCTCCACGAAGTAGCCAGCGAAAGGACAGTAGACTTTGGGGTTGACGTCACGCACTACTTGTGTCTTATAGTACAGCAGCTTTTTCCGCTCCGTGGCGATGAACTTTGCCTTCCATTCATCTGCACAGAAACATCAACACAAACTCACTGTGTACACGAGATGAGGAACAAGCAAGCAGCCTCTACGTATCGAGACCTGACACTGATCCACAAAAGCCAACTGCATTAATGACCTGTTTCACAATTCCATTAAAATTGGATGTTTTCTGAAATATTACATGACCTACAGGGTGTAAAAAAAGTGCATCATCTACTGCATACTTGCAGATGACACGACAAACTACATACGACTGCAATAAAGCGACCGAGGGTTACAGCTGCGAACGAACGCACCGACAAAACTAATCACTCCTATCGGAGGTCACTGACCTACTTCACGTCAAAAAATCATCATGAAAGTTCATCTGTATAGGTAGTAATCATAGTAAAATGTTGAACTTTTTCCAACATAACGAGTACAGAAAAATTTTCGACGACCACTGTCAATTGCTGACATCACGTAAAGTCTCGTGTGAATGAGGTCAAGTCTCCCTAACCGTAACTATCCAAAATTTTATCTCTCTGTACTCGTTGTGATGGAATAAAGTTCAACATTTCACTATGTCAAAAAATTGCTTTGTTAGCATTTTCCTCAGAAATACACTTTGTCGCATATGGCATATCTTTATTAATCTCTGGTCTCCAATGTGTATAAATTGTCAGTAAATCGTTCCACCAGCACGTCAGCAGAATATATAAATATATATAATATATATTGCGCCTGAGTGAAAACTGTCATGTATTGTGCATACGTACCACTTAGTTAAAACGTTTATATAAGATCGTATTTGCGTATTTTAAAGCTGACATCCTGTCTATAGTTTTCAAACGTTGTCGGAAAACATATCGGGCGAAATTCTGATGCAGCGTTGACAATCAAACATCCAACGAAAATCGTGAAAAAATGTCTGGTTTCGCACAGGCGCAGTACGTACTGCAGAGTACTGTTCTTACCCGTGTAACGTCCTCCACTGAAGGTCATAGGGAACCCGGATGCACCCCCCGCGAAGTCACTCATCATGATGTCCACATTCTTTGGCAGCCGTCCGCCATTGGGCTGTGTGCAGTCCACGGTGTTCAGGATTAGGTGGCCTGAAACACAGAATATTCTTAATATTAATTGCGATTGTGTTACTACTGTACCTGTTGATGTTACTTTGTTTATTATGAATATTAATTTTTTATGCCTGTGCAACCTTTGTGGATTCCGGTCATTTTCATCTACAATCTGACATCTCAGTTAATTAATTGTTACCTCTCTACGCCTACACGGTACAGATTCCTTCATAGTCACCAACGAAATTCGAAACGTAGTAGATGTTACTTGAAAAGTCCGATAATTTTCAAAATCATATCCAGTTGCTTGCCTTGCTTGAGTAACTGTTTTCTTGTGTATCTCCTGGACGTATCATGCATTGTATTGTTGCATATTTTTGGAACGCATTCCTTGATTATGTAAATCTCCCTTGTCTTGATCTACATATCATTTATTTTGTGGTTTTGTTCTGGTGTCTTATGAATATAAGCCCAGGAGGGATGGGCTCATAAATCAACAAGAGACATTAAAAAAAGTTTCATTCATTCATAATTTCTCTTGTTCTTTTACCTTTCTTTTAACTTCCCTCTCCCTTTTCACTTCCTACCAAAGTGTGGCAGTAAAGAGCGTGATATTTAAACTATGAGAAAATGTGGCTTAACGGTTTGCTGGTATGATGTACGAACAAGTGGGAGCATGGCCGAAGCAAGCAGAGTTCTGAATCTTTTTTGATAGAAGGATATGACCAAACAGAAAATATTTAAGACCACACGGCAGTAGACCATTGAGAGTAATGCTACACCAAACGATATATACGAGTCTACATGGCTATGATGGACGTGTACTATCTCCCTGTCAGATAATTATCCTACCCTTGTAGTCCACCAGGATGCAGGTGTCCATGTCAGGATGTACTCCGTCCATCAGGATCATAAAACGGAGGTCAGCATTAATCTGTGGCAAAATATTACTTATTTGTTTATTTCGATTTTTCACAAAGTGAAAGGGAGGGCAAAACAGGTGCATACGCACCTTTACAAGTTGCCCTCCCCCATACATAAACACATCATATACAACATCAAAATTTACATGGTCAGTAACAACCAGTATTAAAATACATTAATATAGGGTTAATGACCCGCCCTGAGGTGAATACGGTGTCATAATTCATGGTCGGTTCCTATAACCACCGAATGAACGACCGAGGCCGCGGAGCGGACGAGGTCGTTTATGAGGTGGTTATACAATGTAGGAACCGACCATGAATTATGACACCGTATACACCGAAGGAAAGCGGGTCATTAACATTATTATCATATAGACATTGTCACATATGCATGTACATAAAGGGTCATCAAGCTGACACATAAGGGAAACAAATTCTGTGTAACATATACATGTAGATCTGTTAATCTTGCATTGAAGTGAATTCTCATCGCAACAAACCAATTATTTAAAGCTGAAAGTTACAGATATGAACTAAATTTACCGCTGAAGTTTACCGCTGAATTTCGAATTCCTCAACTGTTTCTCCACCACTATTGTCAAAATCCATCTCTGCGGTTGCCCCAAACACTGCTTTTACTTCATCTGACGACAACTCAGCAGTTCTATCAAAACTAAATTAATTTACTACTCTACATAAACGAGTCTACCAGAAAGGTCTTTAGAATTAGAAGTAGGTTAGAAGAAAACACCACCCTGTCATGTAATGGTAGCGTCGGTTACGGACCCGCAGGTCCGTATATCGGATATTAATGACCTGGGTTATGGGGGAAATGGAGCCTTCTGATTGGTCGACGTCATCTGGCTATATGATCATATAGAAGGTTAAGCATAATTCAAATATATCTAATAAGTAGTTATGATATATTGTGTTGAAAGAAGACTTAGTGAGGTCTAGAAGCAATACAAGAACTACACCCACAAGAAGTGGTCCAAGTACATGGCAGGTTAAGACTGTAATGTGTGTTAAATCTGTTGTAGGTGACCTTGAGTAGTTTATGCTTAAATGATGTAATATCCGACTGATGAGCTGCTCGCTCACCAGTACCACGGAGGTCAGAACCTAACTTATTCCAAATAGTGACTAGCCTGGGGATGTAGGTGTGACTGAATGCTGATGTTTATTAACAAAAACAGTTAATCAATCAATAAATCAATCAATCAGTATACCAATCAATCAATCAATCAATAAACCATAAAAAATAGCCGATCAGTCAGGAATGTCGTGACATGTGCAGTCATCCTTCTTTCCTGTACGAAAATTTGTACAATCCTGTTTTCCGTGCTTCTTCTCTTCATTGGTAGTTTTCTTCAGCTGATTTTAAGTAAAATTATATCTCTGCTATTCGATTTTGAAAAGTTAGAATTCTAACATACCGACATCGCATGACAACTACTTTTTTTGGTATGCTGTCTGAAAAATAATATGTGTAGCACGTTTGCCTCATTTATGTAATGGAGGCTTTGAAAATAATTCTGTTCATATCGGTTGTGCAAGTCATTACTAACATTTCTGTACCTTGATCCTTGTAGAATTATTTCCATGTCATTATTTGTTACAGAATATCAGAATAAATAACAGATATTCAGCCATGTTTGGATTGTGCGCTTAAGAATGTTATAGGTCATCAGCTGACCAGAGGGGTCAGAGGTCACCCTATATCTTAGTTCTCACGATACGTTCTGCCTTGAAAATTCTTACGGACTAAATTCAAAATTTAAATGTTGGAGTACCCTTCCAAATGTATTTTTCATGGTATACAAGTCAGTTATAGATGACAATTTTTCATGACATAACTCTCATTAATCAGGTTAGCAGACAAAATTACTGTCCTTCCTGCAGGTAAAAACCTCACCTCTTGCCACACACCAAAACTGCAGACGTGGATGTTGTTCATTTTGACCCCGCTCTGCTGCAGCTTACAGAAGACCGGCATAGCCGTGTCTCCAACATAGATCGGGATGTTTGGGTTCCTTTCCGACAGCAGTGCTAGAGTCGGGTAGCTGACAACAGCACAACATGTAAAACAATTGACTATATTTTTTTAGATAACTTTTATTAGAAAAAGCAGACTTACATCGTAGAATCCGAAGTAGTATGCTAATTTACATCGGAATCATATAAATTACATAATTAAGACCAAAGGGATCTGTAGTTTTACATTGAAATCAATAACAACATTAAGCAACAGCTATCAATAATATAACATGAATCATATTGTTATGTCATGGGCATTTGAAATACGATAGCATCAGGTATAATCAAGAATAATGTTAGGTCACCTAAACACAGCTCAAAAGGACCGTTTTTGACAATTAGAAATACCTATGGGGGAGAGATAATTAGGTCAAAATGTAAGTTGCTTTCATATATTCAATTTTATAATCGCAAAATGTTGTTTCTACATCTCATTGTCGGGCTCAAGCTCAGACCTTCAGAAATTTTGTTTTAAATATGAGGGAAAACTAAACCAGGTAATTTCGAATTACATATGAACTGTTTAGCTTTCTTCCTCTGCATTGTATTGTCTTCTCATTCGGGAAAAAAAAAGTATGGATGTTAGAACACATGTGAAGCTGTACAAGTATATGTCAGGGTAGAGGCTCCTAACTGAATATCAATTCTACCGGCAGAGATTCCGGAGTCTCTATCAACAGAAACTCCGATCGGAGTCACTATCCGTGCAGGTTCGACATTTTGTGATATGTTGGCCCATATAGAACTGTCTGATCTAATAAGGAATTTTACGAAAACACCAAAATCGAAAGGGCACAGTCCCGCCGCCATCTTGATGACGCGTTCTTGTTGTTCTATGGAGGCTCACAGGAAATACTAGTATGCCCCAATATAGGCTGAAATCTACCCCCGAAATTAACGTAAATGATCTTAGATTTCGCAGATATCGAGTTTAATACCACAGATTATAAATTAGGACTTCAAAATTGAAAAAAAAAAAATCCTTACTAGAAAGGTCACAAGGTTCAAAGTTCAACTGCTAATTAAAAGTTGCCAGAACTAAACACTAGCGACTTTTTGAACACTGTAATTTGCTGTCACGTTTTTACTTCTTCTGATTTACAAAGTCAACCTGTGTTCTTTTCAATTATCAATTGTTGATATTCCGACCATGCGTTAGTTTGAAAGATATTTGCAGTGTTTGTTTGTGTATAGTGCCTGGGTACAGGCACGAGGTAGCTATAGGCACCCCAAGGTGAGCGGGCAACGCTAGTATTCTAAGCAGACCGATTAGTGAAGTTAGAAAGTACGTTGGTATAGAAATCTAAACATCAAAGAAGCTGGCACAAAACCTGAGATGGTCCGAGTGGACGTGACTGATGTAAATGAGGTCAGCACGTGACAGCCTCTCCAGCCAATCAGCGGGCGGTTCGTGCAGAAGCCACCACCCCCTGGCGAAGGCGGGTCCGGTCAGCCATGGGTCGAAAAACATCGTCTTGTCTCCCAGCTTCAGCTCCATACACGCATGCGCGAAAAACGTCAACTATAGAAACAAGTGCACAACGTTGGGAACTCAGTGTGATCATATTATTTCCACGCACATGTGTAGTGTTATTTGAACTAGAAAGGCAACATTTGTAAGCAAAAAACCGAGCATGCTCTAAATATGACGGCTTACATAACAGCTATTCACATTTTATCGAATCCAGTACAGCAGATTTCAACATATTCGATGCTACAGACAAATTCATATAATGATATATTCAAATGCAATATCTCGCACAATGCAAAAATAGGTAAATACATAGAAGACTGTTTTGTTATAAGAAAAAAACGAAACTAAATGATAAGCCCCACTTGATTGATTGTATATTATACTGGGACTTGATGTTTCAGTAACTAAAATGTTATGTTTCATCTTATACCCTTTTCTACTGTACCTTTGCATGGCCTAGCCTATATGTAACTACCAACGACATCTACCTTACATAGCTACTCTACATAGCTACTGTTAGTCACTGACTAAAAGTAGTGTATGTTACTGAAAACGCCCGACAACTTTATAAATTTATCCAGTTTGTTTGAGTAGCAGTGTTCTAATGTTATCTTATTACATTGATGTCTAAACTTCATCGACATGCCTAACGTCTATAGTATAGACAATGTGGAGACAAACTCTTCTACAGTTTACCTTCGGGTCGTGTAGGATTTTCAGCAAAGAGTACAGAAGAATCGTATTAGGGTATAATATAACTTGCTACAAGGCATCTAACACATTTAATTTGTATCCACGTGAAACCGACCCCATAAGAATGGACCTGGCGGGTTGGCAGTACTATCAGCACCGTATAGATATCTGTGAGATTACGATGGTCTGGCTACGTATACCAGGCCAGCGACAATTTGTGACATTGTCGTGAACAGAAATGAGCAAAATGATGATGTTTTTTCTGACCTGCACTTCCCCGGGTTGTACAGTCTGAGGAGGCCTCGCGTCGTTGTCCCAAGGTTCGGGCGGGCTCAGCTCCACCAAGGATAACCTCCCATCCTCATCTACCTCCGGAACTAAACAAATCAATACATATTCGTAATAACCTCATCAGTTTGGTGAATGATTGCATGGTAAAGTTCTTATATTCACAACCATTTGTTTTGCATGCGCCGACGTTTCGATGACCGATACCAAATTAGCCCTGATGAAGATCTTTACCATCATGGATTCTACCAATTGAAAACAGGTCAGCCTTCATTTGAATAGATTGCTATGTCTACAGGAAAGAACACGGACAGAAGTGTGTGATATGAAGGCTATCAATAGTCGTACCTAACTTCTCCTGAATGAAGCTGTCCGGTGGGTTGACGTATTTCATAGTAGAAGGGTCCAGCTTCCAGCCGTGCTTGGTGCATCGCAGAGTACTGCAAAATGAAGAATACAGCACGGTTAAAACACATGGCACGGTAAGGCCTTTATTACTCCGTGAAGGAGGTCAGGACCTCCGGACGGAGTGTTGTGATCGGCTGATTTTTCATGTTCGCAGTCAAAACACTGGGTTCTCTTTGTGTAATCGGCACGCAATTTTATACGCCGTCTGCGGGCATGCCCGTGTTGATGCACGAATGTGTATTTTTGCCGTTGCTGCTTTCGCGGTCAATGTAATATTGCAGACGCACCCCTACAATTACGAGGCGAATTGGAATGGTCCAGAAAAACGCGTTGTTTGGAATAGCAGTGGGAGGGTGGAACTTCATGCAGATACGGGGTGGTTTTGATAAGTGGTTCCAGATGTTTTTGCCCATACTTAAGAGATGCCAAGTTTTTTGGAAGATGTTCGCAGCCAAAACGCATTCTTCCGTACGTCGCATTTCTTTGTGATTTCGCATGTGGTGTGGTATTATGTCCGGGATGATGCACGTCTTTTTATTTTTACCGTAGCTGTTTTGATATTGAAGTAAATGCATATTTTAGAAACATCCCTACTTTTACAATCCTGTGGAATAGGCCGTAGGTTTAGGCAGTTGTCTGGTAGCAGAGGTTCTGTAAGCAGATATCCTGGTTATCTGGCCGGCGGTAGTAACACTCGCGGTGCTTACCGCAACTGTTGCTGGAATTTGGCCTGTTCCAGGCGCGCCTAATTAGGTAAAGGCACGGTAAGACGGTGGGACTGTCTTTGTTACTAGACACGACCATGATAGTCCGATCTTATATTGTTTTAATTATATTGCTATAATAATATGACGACGACGGTTTTTATAAATTTTGTATATCACAAGTGTAAGTTGCCCTTTTATATCTACTAGTATTGTATAATCCTATAAGTTGTAAATATCAGCACAATTCAGTTTTTACTGCAAGTCTGATATGTTCTTTGCTCTTTTCAATAAACCAATCACTACCACTACTACATCTTTATGTGAATGCAATGATTGTGTGTGTGTAATTAAAATGAACTTCGAACTTGAAGCACAGTACGCCCTGGGAGCAGTAATGGATTTAGCTCTTTGTATGTTTTATGCTTGTGACGCGCCCTCATTGTATTAACCGTTGCCTAATTATAATGTCTGCACAGTAGGTCTGGCGTTGACGCTTGGGATTTTGTTGAAATATATAAAACTTCACGGAGGATTGTTACCTATGGCTTCTTGTTCTTTTTCAATCCCAAGGAAAGGTTTTTTTTAATTTATTCAGAAACGTAGTGATAAGTACAAATGAAAGGACACGGACTAAGTGGCTGCGAACTCAAGTTAGGTACAACTTATATTCTCGCAGCAACCTTTACAATGGGGAAAAATATTTAACAAGAAGCTTGAAAAAGTTTAGATACATAAGAGACCTGGCGTGTGTCAAACGTCCCATACCAGAAGAAAAAGAAAGCAAATTAAGGAGGACACATACAGCTTAAACCGGTTTGTTTCTGTTGTGTAGTTTTGTGTGGCTAACACAATTCTACAGTTAATGTCGTAAGAAACAGAGTAAACTATCGCAAAAAAGTAAAAGCTGTTTAGCATTATCAGAAAGTGTGTGTAAATGTGTCCAAATGCTCCAATGCTTGAAAGCTTGCCAAAAAGGACTGAGCGCTGGTAGGCAGTGCAGTAGAGAATGAGCAGCCGTTTCGTATGGACACCCGCAGCTACAGGCTAGATTTGTAACAAGACCCCGAGTACAAAGACTGCGATTCAAACTGCAGGTGCCTAGATGTAAGGTAAGGTTCAACATTGAAATGTTAGTACTACCCAGTGCAGGGGTATTCAACACTAGAATAGAGCATTGGAATTAATACCAAAACAAGTCTGAATTCCTTCACTACTGTATGTGTGCTCAGTGGCTAGGCCTTTTTGCCCGGTGAGTTGGCATCGAAACACAAATGCGAGCACGCATGGCTTTCCTTATGAGTCTTTCTCAGTCGCTCCTTCTCACACGCACGCACACACATGCACGCACACACAACAACACACTTACACGCACACACAAACACACGCACAAATACACAGGAACATACACTACCAGGTGCATAAATGTGAAAAATATGTGAATTTCGTGCAAAATTTCAAGGAAATGTGAAAAAATGTGATGTAATGTGAATTTTTTTGAGGTTCAACAGCATCACATTTTATCACATAAGTTCACAGAAAATCATATAAAATAACATTTCTGAAGCGCGACACCTTTATGTGAAAAAATGTTATTATTTTGCGTCACATTTTTTCACATTTGCAGTGAACGGTCCAGAAAAATCACATTTTCAAATGTGAAAAGATGTTATCTAAATGTGATGTTGGATCTCCTCCCATTATGTGAAATTATGTGACTGCCTGTATGTTCTTTTTCCGCCGATGCCTATGTGATTTTTATGTGAAACGTAGTCTCAGTGAAAATGTGAAACAATGTTAACCTGAGTCACATTTTTAAAAATGTGTCTTCATGTGAAAGTTATGTGAAATGGGTTTGACTACAAAATGTGAAAAGATGTGAAGACATCTGGCATTCCGCGAAATGTGAAATTTATGTGATGTTCACGAAAACGCAAAATGTGAAAAAATGTGACATCAAATCACATTTTTGACATGTGAAATAAATGTGAAATTAATGTGATTCGTGATTACACAAGACCGGGAATCATGTGAGTTGACAGAATATGTAAAAGGTAAGTGTACTTGTAGGTCTTCTCCATTGAATGGGCTAATCATGATCATTTGTGGGGCAAGCGCGCGAATTTGTATTGTAAACAATACAGGCCTATTACCTTATTGTATGATGTGATCTATCATTCAGTACTAATCAACGAACAAAAGGTGTGAAAACCCCCTCCACTCCCTCTCGCCTGCCACTCTTATGTTGCTAATTATCCATTTTACAAGTGAAAGCGCCGAATATCGCGACACATTGATAGTTTGGCCAAGGCCAGTCAAGGCGTTTGAAACACTAAAGTAAAGAGTGATGCTTGGCGGTGAAAATTCTGCTATGTGACAGTCCAGCGAGGTCTAAATAAGTTTTGGTCTGTCACCGAGTATAGCTGGCAGTTGAATGGCAGTTTAACAACAAGATCTGGCGAATGCGCTGTTAATATGTTAATTTTGGCACTGGTGCAATACAAAGACAATGCTGGAAACACGATAATATATGCAACAAGAAATGCCTGAAAACAATGGTGTTAGTTGTCTATAAAGCAAGCCGTAATTCAGAAAGAAGTTTTGTTACGTGCATGAAATTGTCCTCTGATAAAAAAGTAAAAAGAAATGCTTTTGAAAAAGGCAGCCTTTCGCTTAGTTTGTGTATACAAAGTTGTAATGAATGAGCTTGAAGATATTTTTTCTTCCCCTTCTTTCCATTGAGGCAGCCGCCTTCAGCAGTTTGAAGATTCTGCTGCCTGTAGTGTTGATAAACTCTACAAGAATCACGCGAAGAAAAACCTCACCGATTTCGATGTGATCACGAAGCTGAGGTGTCCGTGTGGCCTAATTCCTTAATGGGAGGAAAGACTATCAAATTGCAAAATGTTTCTGCAAGTTCCGCTATGGTTGGAACCTGGCTAACGTGTTGTATTCAGTAAGAGGAACAAAGTGTGACTAATATCCACCAAGCACACACACAAAGATGTTTTATTGTTTCTTCTTTACCTTGCAGGTACAGTACTACAAGTCGAATAGACCTCTACAAACACGTTTTGCAGCGCGCGTTACATGCCCGGTCATGCATGCTGATAGGAACGTAAAACAATACATAAACTAAGCACTACATTCGTCTTTACCCGATTCGTATGCCACATATCCTTGCATGGGCTTGGCATCAACATTCGAATCTACATGGAGCAATGTCTCGCTACATGTATCATAGAACCGTGCGGAAGGACAGGACAGGACGGACGGAATGAACTCAAATTCCCGTCTCAAAGCCTTTAGCAGCCTCAGGGCTGCGAAAGGCAAAAATAAAGAATCGAGACAGTTTCTGCTGAGGAATAAGTACGTTGTAATACTATCAATTTGAGGATGCTCAAACTTGCAGCATGCAAGGTGCCGCAGTATATTGAAATTATTTAATATATGGTGAGAATGTATCAGGGCCCCTTTTCTGTGTCATATGGTAGAAAAATAGATTGTCGCGTAAAAAGAGTCCACAGTTACCCGGGTATTATGGTATTTCTCGGTTTGAAAAATGGTTTATCTGCCTCGAGTTAAACATAATCTATGACTTCTAAATGTTCAGGAACTCAGTACATACATCACCGTACATATAGACACGGACCGTAGTAAACTTCGGGTAGGTTGTTGACTGAGAAGTTATGGGTTCCAGGCTGATAACGAAAGAATCGTTTAATCTAAAGGAAAACTAAAATAGTCCACAGTTACCCAGTATTATGGTCTTTCTCCGTTTGAAAAATGTTTTATCTGTCTCGAGTTGAACATATTCTATGACTTCTAAATGTTCAGGAAGTCAGTACATACATCGCCGTACATATAGACACGGACCGTAGTAAACTTCGGGTAGGTTGTTGACTGAGAAGTTATGGGTTCCAGGCTGATAACGAAAGAATCGTTTAATCTAAAGGAAAACTAAAATAGACACAATTGCCCAGTATTATGGTGTATATCGGTTTGAAAAAGGTTTTATCTGTCTCGAGTTGAACATATTCTATGACTTCTAAATGTTCAGGAACTCAGTACATACAGCGCCGTACATACGCGCCGTACATATAGACACAGACCGTAGTAAACTTCGGGTAGGTTGTTGACTGAGAAGTTATGGGTTCCAGGCTGATAACGAAAGAATCGTTTAATCTAAAGGAAAACTAAAATAGTCCACAGTTACCCAGTATTATGGTCTTTCTCCGTTTGAAAAATGTTTTATCTGTCTCGAGTTGAACATATTCTATGACTTCTAAATGTTCAGGAAGTCAGTACATACATCGCCGTACATATAGACACGGACCGTAGTGAACTTTGGGTAGGTTGTTGACTGAGAAGTTATGGGTTCCAGGCTGATAACGAAAGAATCGTTTAATCTAAAGGAAACTAAAATAGTCCACAGTTACCCAGTATTATGGTCTTTCTCCGTTTGAAAAATGTTTTATCTGTCTCGAGTTGAACATATTCTATGACTTCTAAATGTTCAGGAACTCAGTACATACAGCGCCGTACGCGCCGTACATATAGACACGGACCTAGAAACTTCGGGTAGGTTGTTGACTGAGAAGTTATGGGTTCCAGGCTGATAACGAAAGAATCGTTTAATCTAAAGGAAAACTAAAATAGTCCACAGTTACCCAGTATTATGGTCTTTCTCGGTTTGAAAAATGGTTTATCTGTCTCGAGTTAAACATAATCTATGACTTCTAAATGTTCAGGAACTCAGTACACACAGCACCGTGCATATAGACACGGACCGTAGTGAACTTCGGGTATGTGAAAATATGTGAAAAATGTACAGTTGGTAGCAGAAAATCATTTTTGTAACATTCAAGGACATACAGGATTCTAAGAGGATAAAAATAGGCTACAGGCGTACTATAGTGTTTGAAAATAAAGTCCAAATACAATACTGCCCTTCACCTGACAGAACGTTTCCTAGCACACGCACTCAAAACGTCTGCAGTGTAACAGCCCTCTTTTCTACAGTGTAATCGAATGGGCTTAGACACAAGCCATGTTAGCTTTCACGCGAGAGACGCATAAAAGCTGGAAATCCCTGTCGGGCGCTCTAATTGGTTTGCGTTCTGGGCGCAGGTTATCGTCAAAACCCCTTGTTTAATTGTTCTTAGTTAAAACTCTTTGGTTACGCTTTTCCGCACGTATTTATACTATCTTCACCATAGTTCCCTGACCAAGAACAAATGTCAGAAGCCATCGCTCATTATGCAAATCGGGTGTAATTGGCACCTCAACGTGAAGTTGGAACTTCACACCTGAGGCGAAGACCCTAAAGCGGAGGCGCGAGAAGCCCCACAAGTTTGTCTCACCCCGATGTGTTTGCATTTAATACCTATTTGAGGAGGAATCTCGGAAACCTAGAAACGGTCGTAAATAAGTTTGTTACCTGTTACAAAAATTTTCACATAAAATCACATAATCATCTAGGACATAGGCAAATGTGAAATTATGTGAAGCATTTTCACATAAAATAACATTCTGACCTCTTATGTGAAAAAATGTGATTTGAACTTCACATAATTTCACATTTGACTCCTTTCAGTTTGCGGGGTAAAAAC